GTGCCTTCCGTCTCTGTCGCTGCCGCTGCCCCGCGGTGCTGAGCGGCGTCACTGTGCTCGTGTGATGTCGAGCAGCTCTGCCTTCTCCGCACAGGCTGCTGGATCCCCTCGCCTGCGCCTCAGGACATCCTGTACCGCAGCAGCCTGTGCAGGAAGCTCCAGGCAGGCAAGTCTGGAGCTACTCTGGACTTCGCCAAGCAGGTGGGACTTGAGGTGTTGCATCCTGGCATGGACCTGGGGGGCAGCATGGGACCTTTGCACGCACTGACCCTTTCCCTTCCCTCCCACACAGCTGGGTCATTTTTTTGTGGATCACCCAGAAGATGCTTTTGGCTCCCTGGGGCGTCTGCTGCACAAGAACTTCTACCTGGGGAATGCCAAGTTGAAGGTCATTGTCTGTCTAGGGATTAACAGTACTGTTCCCCACCCTTCCCCTTGCCAGGGGACTGCAACTCTCAGACTCTGCCCCTACTCCTGTAGAGACCAGCCCGGAACAGCACCATCCGGATGACGGCCCTGGTGGAGGACATCAACTGCCTGGAGGCCCGACGGTGAGTGTCCCTCTGTCCCCTGCCCTGCAGAGGTCTGGGGAGCTCCTGCTCTGTCCCCCCACCTGATGCTGTCCATGCCCTGCAGCGGCTGCCCCCGGCAGCACTTGGCCTCCCGCCTGCGCTGGTTCTCCCACCTCTGTCGTGACTGGCTCTTCGAGGTGCCGCTGGGGCTGCTGGCAGACTGCCTGCACGAGGAGCTGGCGCAGCAGTGGTCCAACCTGCTCTTTGATGACAGCCTCACTGGGGGGGCACTGGCCTGGTTGCCCTCTGAAGATGGGAAGACACCTGTGGGCCGCCTGGTGCACCCCGGAGGGCAGGCCATGAACCACCTCTGTATCCTTCCCCATGAGGTGTTCCTGGGGCGGGAAGTGGGGATTGTGTTGCACTGCCCTTAGTCAGCACCTCAGATTTCCAGGATGTGGTGCTGGAGGAGCTGCCCCACGCCCAGGGCTCCCCAGCGCAGTTTGAACTCAGCGGGCGCATCCGGCAAGTGGCTGCAGCCCGTGTGGATGGGCAAGGTGAGACATGCCCAGGATCCACATCTTGAGGCAGACAGGATGGAGGGAGGAGGGGCAGCAGGGGCCCCCTGGGATGCTGCTGGTCACATGCCACCTCCTTCCCTACGACAGATTTTGTTGGGGTTCGCTCAGACTACCACTGTGGTGTTTGGAGGGTGCCAGGCAAGACAGGAGCAGCTCCTGCCCCGCTGAAGGTGATCCGCACTGATGTGCCTGCCTCCAGCCTCACTGTCAGGTAGGTGCTGGAGGAAGGGTTATTGCAAGGAGGGAGCTCTGCTGGCGCAGCCCTGCTCTGTGTGGCAGGTTCTGTGGCCCCGGGTGATGCTGTGCTCCCTGTCCTGCAGCCCTCACCTTCCCGGGGAGCTGTCTGTCTGCACCCAGAGCGGGACCGTCTACCTTTGGAGCATTGAGACTGGGTGAGAGAAGGCACTCAGGGCTGTCTAGGGACTCCTTCAGATGGTGGAGT